TTTTTTCTATAGGGCATGTGCACTCACCAGAAAGACAGAGACAGAGAGACAGAAAGCAAGAAATCACCCCCCCAGGGGGGATGGCCACCCCACAATGCCTTCTTCTCCATCTCCATTCTCCTCTCAGGATCTTGGGTACGCACGCACGCACGCACACACACACACACACACACACACACACATCAGGCGTGAGTTTAAGCCACTGGGTCCAGGACTTGAACTGCGGTTGACTACATGGGAGTCCAGCGACATAGCCATTACGCCAACTGCTGGTTCCCCCAGTTATATTTATTTTTTCTAGTTTAAATAATTATTTATCTATTCATTCATTTTTTAAAAATTTGATCAGAGAGAGAGAGACACACACACACAGAAAGCGAGAAAGCAAGCCACCAGGTCTAGGACTTGAACCGTGGTCAGCCACGTGGGAGTGTCCAGAGCCTCAGTCATCACGCCACCTGCTGGTCCCCCCCCCCCAGTTATATTTCTAAGAGGCAGATTTGACAGGTTATTCACCCATTTAAAGCATTTAATTGCTCCCTACTATCCTCAGGATAAAGATCAAATTATTTACTGTCTGACATTTAATATCTGCCCCCACCTTAGCCCATCACCCATTCTGCTATGAATTTTACTTTCAAAAAACAATGAGCAAAAAAAAAAAAGGTGAGCCGACACTTGACGTTTCCAACTACAGTACTCGCTCCCTTTGCATATGCTTTCTTTTCCCTAAGATATTTTACCACCGTCCTTTCCCTTTTCCTCAATCTAACTCCTGCACATTCTTTATATACTTCAACTGACCAATGGCTGCTTTGGTCCCAAGACTATGTGCTCCCATAATACTGTGTGTACCCCAAAACAAAATTTATTACACTGCATTCTAACCACCTGTTTACTCTTCTGCATCCTCTACTAGAATGCTCTCCTTGAGAGAAAGGGGAGATCTGTTCACTCTTTCGCACCTGGCACACCGTAAGGACTCAATAATTACTCATTAAGTAAATGAAGGGAAAAAACATCTTCCATACAAGCTTGTGGTTTTCTACAGTCACTTTCCTTGACTTCAAGGAGAAAGTTACAGCCAAAGAGTCCTAAGAAAAGGTTGATCATCAACTAACCAACCTACCCATCCTACTGTAGTTTGTTCTCTAAATATAAAGTCAACCAAGAGGGAAAAAATAACCACAAAACTCCATATGGAATCTTAAGCATCATATCAGTGACACTAAACCGAAAGCAGCAAAAATTTCTAATGGTATTTTTAAATATTATACTTCATTCCACAGTGCCACATAGTGGTGAAATACGTAAGTGCATAATAAAGATGAAGTGTAGGTGAGAAGGGGACATCTGGGAGGCTCCAGCAGTTTGTCTTCCTTGCGACCAGAGGGAAGCATCTGTGGAGTGCCTCACAGCTGCCTGATCCAGGGTACCCAGTTAGCTAGTTTGGCTCACTGCATCACTCAGGAACTTACATCACTGGGGCTCAGGCTGCCCAGCCCATTCTCCTGATCAGAATCCTTCCCAGACTCAGTGCCTTGGAACGACCGAGGATGAGATGGATGAATCCAAATCTCCAAGCGGGTAGTGTCATCTCCGACATGCCGGAAAGTAGACTTCTTTCCTTTCCGCCACTGGTCAGCGTTGAGTTCAAATTCCTCGAGTTGCTTCTTTTCCATCTGTTCTGCCTGTGCAACATACAAACACACAAGCTCTGACACTCCTAGGATTCAGCTACAAAAAAGAGCCTCACTTCACTTGTGTTGCCTAAGGGCTATAAAAAATTAAGACTCTGGGGCCAACAGGTGACGTGGCGGTTAAAGGTGCTGAATTCCCACATGGCTGACTATGAGTTGGGTCCTGGACCTGCTGGCATGCTTTCTTGCTTTCCGCCTCTCTCTATGGTCAAATTAAAAACAAAACAAGAGGGACCAGCAGTTAGCGTGGTGGCTATGTCGCTGAACTCCCAGGTAGCTGACAGAGGTTCAAGTCCTGGACCCGGTGTCCTAAACTTACGCCAGGCGCGTGTGCGTGTGTGCCCAAGATCCCAAGAGGAGAATGGAGGAGAAGGGACTGCAGCATGGCCATCCCCCTTTGGGGGGTGATTTCTCGCTTTCTGTCTCTCTGTTTCTCTGGCAAGCGCATGTGCCCTGTAGCAAAAACCTCTCAAAAAATAAGCAAACAAACAAAAACTAATAACAAGTGGAATTAAATAAATAATTCTTAAAAAAAACAAAAGTTAAGGGAACAGTAGTTGGTGTAATGGCTATGTCACTGGACTCCCATGTAGTTGACCGTGGTTCAAGTCCTGGACCTGGTGGCTTAAACTCATGCAGGACGCATGTGGGTGCGTGCCCAAGATCCCGAGAGGAGAATGGAGGAGAAGGGATTGCCATGTGGCCATCCCCAGGGGGTGATTTCTTACTGTCTCTCCGTCTCTTTCTTGTGAGCACACACGCCCTATAGCAAAAACCTCCCCCGAAACAAAAAAGTTAAGACTTTGCTATGGTCCCAAAGTAGCAGAGTATCATCTGCTTTGTCTCATAAAGTTATTAATTCTATAAGCTGGATGCTATGAAATATGTACCCCAAGGACCCTTGAAAGTATTCCTGAAGATCACAATTTAGTTTTGCATAGGGACTGACTGATTATCCATCAACGCAGCCCAATGGGACCACTTGAGGATGTTATTAGCCATTCTCCCGAGGATACAGAGGCACTAAAGAAAATAAATGATTCTACCTACATTCCCACTCACCTTTCGTTTGGTCTCTTCAAACAAGCTCATGAGACTCTCCTTGGCAGTCAGGATAGGGTTGCTGGCAGCTAAACTGCGCATATAGTAATATACAGCATCAAGCTTCCTCCTCTGCGGAAAGAAGCCAGAGACATTCAGTCATTTGATTCTCTTCGTGTGTCTAGCATGAGGTAGTTGATGCAGGAAAACCTGTTATCTCTCCCATTCTGACCCCCAAGTTATAAGGAATTCCAGTACGAGTGCTATCCATGAAAGGAGCGAAGGCAATGACATCAGAGACCTCTCCTTGTACAGTACTACATCTTACACACAGACATGTTCCAAAAACCAAGTACTCGTATGTGGGAGAAAGGAAGAGCCTTTTAAAAAATAAGCAGCAGGGGCCAGCAGATGGCATAATGGTTATGTCACTGGACTCCCACATAGTTGACCACAGTTTGAGTCCTGGACTCAGTAGCTTAAAACTCACACTGGGTACATGTGTATACGTGCCCAAGATCCCAAGAAAATGGAGAAAAAGGGACTCCAGTGGTGTGGCTATCCGCACTGGGGGGAGGGGTGTTTTCTTGCTTTTTGTCTTTCTGTCTCTCTAGTGAGCACACATGCCTTATAACAAAAATCTGTCTTAAATAAATAAATAAAATAAACAACAGGGGAATGCAAGTTAAAGAGCATACTAGTTAAGGCCCTGGACTCCCACGTAGCCAACTACAGTTCGAGTCCTGGACCTAACAGCTTTAAACTCAGGCTGAGAATGTATGTGTATGTGCCCAAAATCCTGAGAGGAGAATGGAGAAGGGATCGTGGCGTGGCCATCCTCCCTGGGGGGTGATTTCTCACTTTCTATGTCTCTGTCTCTCCAGCAAGCCCAAGTCCTATAATAAAAACCTTTCAAAAAAAAAAAAATATATATATATAGGGGCCAGTAGGTGGTGTGGTGGTTAAGGCACTGGGCATTCCCATGTGGCTGATCATGGTTCGAGGCCTGGACCTGATAACTTGCTTTCTTACTTTCCCCCTCTCTCTCTGGCCAAATTAAATGAATGAACAAGAAAGACTTTAAAAACATAAATAATTCTTTTCCTTTTTTTTTTTTTTTTTGGGGGGGGGTGAACATACAAACACACAAGCTCTGACACTCCTAGGATTCAGCTACAAAAAAGAGCCTCACTTCACTTGTGTTGCCTAAGGGCTATAAAAAATTAAGACTCTGGGGCCAACAGGTGACGTGGCGGTTAAAGGTGCTGAATTCCCACATGGCTGACTATGAGTTGGGTCCTGGACCTGCTGGCATGCTTTCTTGCTTTCCGCCTCTCTCTATGGTCAAATTAAAAACAAAACAAGAGGGACCAGCAGTTAGCGTGGTGGCTATGTCGCTGAACTCCCAGGTAGCTGACAGAGGTTCAAGTCCTGGACCCGGTGGCTTAAACTGACGCCAGGCGCGTGTGCGTGTGTGCCCAAGATCCCAAGAGGAGAATGGAGGAGAAGGGACTGCAGCATGGCCATCCCCCTTTGGGGGGTGATTTCTCGCTTTCTGTCTCTCTGTTTCTCTGGCAAGCGCATGTGCCCTGTAGCAAAAACCTCTCAAAAAATAAGCAAACAAACAAAAACTAATAACAAGTGGAATTAAATAAATAATTCTTAAAAAAAACAAAAGTTAAGGGAACAGTAGTTGGTGTAATGGCTATGTCACTGGACTCCCATGTAGTTGACCGTGGTTCAAGTCCTGGACCTGGTGGCTTAAACTCATGCAGGACGCATGTGGGTGCGTGCCCAAGATCCCGAGAGGAGAATGGAGGAGAAGGGATTGCCATGTGGCCATCCCCAGGGGGTGATTTCTTACTGTCTCTCCGTCTCTTTCTTGTGAGCACACACGCCCTATAGCAAAAACCTCCCCCGAAACAAAAAAGTTAAGACTTTGCTATGGTCCCAAAGTAGCAGAGTATCATCTGCTTTGTCTCATAAAGTTATTAATTCTATAAGCTGGATGCTATGAAATATGTACCCCAAGGACCCTTGAAAGTATTCCTGAAGATCACAATTTAGTTTTGCATAGGGACTGACTGATTATCCATCAACGCAGCCCAATGGGACCACTTGAGGATGTTATTAGCCATTCTCCCGAGGATACAGAGGCACTAAAGAAAATAAATGATTCTACCTACATTCCCACTCACCTTTCGTTTGGTCTCTTCAAACAAGCTCATGAGACTCTCCTTGGCAGTCAGGATAGGGTTGCTGGCAGCTAAACTGCGCATATAGTAATATACAGCATCAAGCTTCCTCCTCTGCGGAAAGAAGCCAGAGACATTCAGTCATTTGATTCTCTTCGTGTGTCTAGCATGAGGTAGTTGATGCAGGAAAACCTGTTATCTCTCCCATTCTGACCCCCAAGTTATAAGGAATTCCAGTACGAGTGCTATCCATGAAAGGAGCGAAGGCAATGACATCAGAGACCTCTCCTTGTACAGTACTACATCTTACACACAGACATGTTCCAAAAACCAAGTACTCGTATGTGGGAGAAAGGAAGAGCCTTTTAAAAAATAAGCAGCAGGGGCCAGCAGATGGCATAATGGTTATGTCACTGGACTCCCACATAGTTGACCACAGTTTGAGTCCTGGACTCAGTAGCTTAAAACTCACACTGGGTACATGTGTATACGTGCCCAAGATCCCAAGAAAATGGAGAAAAAGGGACTCCAGTGGTGTGGCTATCCGCACTGGGGGGAGGGGTGTTTTCTTGCTTTTTGTCTTTCTGTCTCTCTAGTGAGCACACATGCCTTATAACAAAAATCTGTCTTAAATAAATAAATAAAATAAACAACAGGGGAATGCAAGTTAAAGAGCATACTAGTTAAGGCCCTGGACTCCCACGTAGCCAACTACAGTTCGAGTCCTGGACCTAACAGCTTTAAACTCAGGCTGAGAATGTATGTGTATGTGCCCAAAATCCTGAGAGGAGAATGGAGAAGGGATCGTGGCGTGGCCATCCTCCCTGGGGGGTGATTTCTCACTTTCTATGTCTCTGTCTCTCCAGCAAGCCCAAGTCCTATAATAAAAACCTTTCAAAAAAAAAAAAATATAGATATATAGGGGCCAGTAGGTGGTGTGGTGGTTAAGGCACTGGGCATTCCCATGTGGCTGATCATGGTTCGAGGCCTGGACCTGATAACTTGCTTTCTTACTTTCCCCCTCTCTCTCTGGCCAAATTAAATGAATGAACAAGAAAGACTTTAAAAACATAAATAATTCTTTTCCTTTTTTTTTTTTTTTTTGGGGGGGGGGGGTTTGCTCTAGATAGGGAGCATGCACTTACCAGAAAGACAGAGAGAAACAGAGAGACAGAAAGCAAAAAATCACCCCCCCGGGGCGGATGGCCATGCGGCAATCCCTTCTCCATTCTCCTCTTGGGATCTTGGGCATATATGAACATGTGCCTGGCATGAGTTTAAGCCACTGGGTCCGGGACTCGAACTGCAGTCAACTACATGGGAGTCCAGCGACATAGCCATTACACTCACTGCTGATCTCATGTTACTGACCATTTTTTAAAGTAATAAATCATTTGAAAGTGAGTTGAACATTTTACAGATATTATTCAACTAATTCAGCATAAAAAGATTTTTAAATAATTATTTAATTTTATTCATTGTCATTATTTTATTTTATTTATTTTTTAAGTTGACCAGAGAGAGAGAGAGAGAAGGAAAGTGACAAAGAAAGTTGTCAGGCCCGGGACTTGAATAGCGGTCAGTCATGTGGGAGTCCAGCCACCTTAACCACCACACCACCTGCCGGCCCCACCAAAAAATATTTCAAGTCCTTTTTATAACCAGTTAATAGGGAAGACAAAGAGAAGCAGGTCAAAAAGAAGAAAAAAGATGGGAACTAGCAGTCAGTGTAATGGCTATGTCGCTGGACTCCCACATAGTCGACCGCGGTTTGCATCCCGGACCCGGTGGCTTAAAACTCATGCCGGGCACGTGTGTGTGCATGCCCAAGATCCCGAGAGGAGAATGGAGGAGAAGGGATTGTGGTGTGACCATCCCCCCTGGGGGGTGATTTCTCGCTTTCTGTCTCTCTGTCTCTGTCTGTCTGGCGAGTGCACGCACCCTATAGCGAAAACCTCTCCAAAAAAAAAAAGAAGAAAAAAGAAAACCACTGAAACAAAGAGAGAGCAAATATCCAAAAGTCATTCTGTTTCTCCAACTTCATATACATTTTCGGTTTCCTAAAACTGTCTTAAAATACATCCGTAATTCTAGTTTCTCGAACCAGCTAGTGGTGCAGTGGTTGCCGTGGCTGGATCCCACATGGCTGACTGTGCAGTTCCAGTCTCGGATCTGGTGGCCTGAAAAACATGCTGAGTATGTGTGTATGCATGCCCAAAATCACAAAAGGAGAATGGAGAGGGGACTATGGTATGACCTTCCCCCCCTCAAGGGGGAGGAAGAGGAGTGATTTCTCACTTTCCTTCTCTCTCTCTCTCCCCGGCATCCAACGCGGGAAAAAAACTAAAAAAAAAAAAAAAAAAAAAAAAGGCATTCTATGTTTGTGGATTAAAAGACTTAATACTGTAAAGATGGCAATACATCCTTAAAAAAAAACTACAGACTCAGTGCAATATACTTATCCAAGTCCCAATGACTGTTTCTGTAGAAATAAAAGTATATCCTAAAATCCATATAAAATTGCAAGGGGCCCCAAATACCCAAAACAGCCTTGAGAAAAACAAATTTGGAAGACTCACATTACCGAATTTTTTAAAGAGATTTTTGCTGAAGAGTTCATGCGCAAGAGAATTATAGAGAGAGAGAGAAAGGAGGAGACAGAGAGACAGAAAGCAAGAAATCCCTTCTCCTCCATTCTCCTCCTGGGATCTTGGGCAGGCACGCAATCACACATGCCCGTCTTGAGTTTTAAGCCACTGGGTCCAGGACTCAGACTACGGTCAACTATGTGGGTGTCCAGTGACGTAACCATTACGCCATCTGCTGGTCCTGAATTTTTTTTGCTTTAAAAAAGATTTTTGCTATAGGGCATGTGTGCTCACCAGAGAGATAGAGAGAGACAGACAGAAAAAGAGAAAGGGGATGGACACACTGCAATCCGTTCCCCTACATCCTCTTCTCAGGATTTTGGGCATGTACACACACATGCCTGGGGTGAGTTTCAAGCTGCCGGGTCCAGGACTCAAACCGCAGCGGTCATGTGGGAGTCCTGTGCCATAACCACTACATCACCTACTGGCCTCAACACATTACTCAATTTTTCATACTTCAAACTTACAGAGTGACTCAAAGAGTTGTGGTATTGGCATAAGGACAGACATATCAATCAATGGAAGAGAACTGAGAGTTAAGAAAAACATAAAAATAGGACCAGCAATTGGTGTAATGGCTACGTCACTGGACTCCCATGTAGTAGACTGCGGTTCGAGTCCCAGACCCGGTGGCTTAAACTCATGCCAGGCGCATGTGTACGCGTGCCCAGGATCCCAAGAGGAGAATGGAAAAGGGATTGAGGTATGGCCATCCCCCCAGGGGGTGATTTCTCACTTTCTGTCTCTCTGTCTCTTTCTGTCTTTCTGGCAAGTACACGCACACTACGGCAAAAACCTCTCAAAAAAATATTAAATTAAAAATTAAAAAGAAAAGAAAAGAAAAACAAAAATAAAACCATACAGTGGGATTAGCAGGTGGCGTGGTGGTTAAGGGCACTGGACTCCCACAGGGCCAGCCGCGGTACAAGTCCCAGACCTGGCAGCTTGCTTTCTCACCTATCTTTCTCTCGCTCTCTTTCTCCGTCCTTCTCTGGTCAAATTAAAATAAATAAATACATATTATTAAATAAAATAATTGTTTAAAAAAATTTTACAACCATGTATCAAATAATTTTTTATTTTTTTATTTTATTTATTCATTCCTTTATTATAATTTGACCAGAGACACACATAGAGACAGAGAGAGAGGGAAAATGAGAAAGTAAGCAATCAGGTTCGGGACTCAAACCATGGTCGGCCATGTGAGAGTATTCACCACTTTAACCACCACACTACCTGCTGGTCCCCCTCAAATGATTTTTAGTAAGAGTACCAAGACCAATTAATGGTCTCTTCAACAAAATGGTTCTGGAAAGACTGTATATGCATGTGTAAAAGAATGAAGGTGGATCCTTACAATTCACATCATATAAAAATTAACCTAAAATAGATAAAGGACCTAACTATAAAAGATAATATTATAAAACTCTCAGAAGGGAGCCAGTACTGACAGTGGTTGAAGCACTGGACTCCAAGATGGTTAACCATGCTTCGAGTCTCAGACCTGGTGGCTTAAAATGCTGGGCACATGTTTGTGTGCCGAAAATATCAATAGGAGAACAGAGGAAAAGGGATTGTGCATGGTCATCCCTCTTTGAGGGGTGATTTCTCACTGTCTCTCTCTGGTGAATGCACATGCCCCAATGAAAAAAAACTTTAAAAAAAAATCTCAGAGACCAGCAGGTGGCATGGTGGTTAATATTAAAAAAACAACCTCTCAGGAAAAATAGAAGTAAACTTTTTTTTTTTTCAAGAGACTTTTGCTATAGGGCACATGCACTTGCCAGATAGAGAGAAAGAGACAGAAAGTAAGAAATCATCCCCCAGGGGATGATGGCCCACCACAATTCCTTCTCCATTTTCCTCTCAGGATCTTCAGCACGCATGCACATATGCCCGGTATAAGTTTTAAGCCACTCAGTCTAGGACTCGAACTGCAATCAACCATGTGGGAGTCCGGCAACATAACCATTACACCATCTGCTAGTCCTCATATAGGTAAACATCTTAATTTCAGATATGGTCATTGTTTCGTAGCTATGACACCAAAAGTACAAACAACAAGGAAGAAAGTAAGATAAATAAGATTTTTTCCTAATTTAAAACTCTCTGCATCCATGGCACAATTAAAAGAATAAAAAGTCCACAGAATGGGAGAAACATAGTTGCAAATCATGTATCTGATGAGGATCTAGAATCTGGAAGATAAAAAAAAAAAATGCTCCAACATCATGACAACAAAAAGGTAAACAACTCAATTTTAGAATGGACAAAGGACTTGAATAGACATTTTTCCAACCAAAGTAAAGTAAATCAGCCATGAAAGAAATGTTCAACAACACTAACTGTTAGGGAAATGCAAATCAAAACCACAAAGGAATATATCATCTCACACCCCTTAGGAAAGCTACTATCAAAAAATCACAGGGAGGACCCATGACTTTGTGTTTAACACTAGATCTC